TTGAGAAGCCGGCCATTCAGCGGAATAAAGACTTTCTAGTTGAGGTTATCAGTGTGTGGCTCCACTGTGTACTCGCATTGCATTAGGCTGGTATTATTTTAAAGTGATATTAAAGACATTTTTTTTTAAATAACAAACATGTTATACTTACCTGCTCTGTGCAGTGGGTTTGCACACAGCAGCCCAGATCCTCCTCTATTCAGGTCCCCGCTGGTGCTCCTAGCCCCTCCCTCCTGTCGAGTGCCTCCAGAGCAAGCAGCTTGCTATGGGGTACTCAAGCAGGCTCGCTCCCGAGCCGCTGCTCTGTGTGTCCATTTACACACATAGCTGCGGCTTGGGCCTTGCCCCCCCCCCTCTTCATTGGCTCACTGGCTGCGATTGACAGCAGTAGGAGCCAATGGCTTCTGCTGCTGTCTCAAACAATGAAGAGGGAGAGTCCCAGAAGAGCTGAGGCTCTTGTGCACATTGCTGGATTACGATTGGGCTCAGGCAAGTATTGGGGGGGGGGGGGGGGGGCTGCACACAGAAGGTTTTTTACATTCATGCATAGAATGTGGTGGCAAAGTATTTACCTATTTACCGCAAATCACTTTTCAGAGGCTTGGCAATGACAGCATGCATAAACCCAACATTACTGTGATAAAAAAAATATTTTCAGTTTTATTGTAACACTCTTGTGGTGTATTTTGCTAGCAGAATGGGTATGTTTGCAGATAACGGTTTTACTTTCACCAAAGTATTTATGGATTCCATATACAGAACATTTTTACCACCTGTATATGAATCTTAAAATTAATTTAAAAGAGAAGGAATTCTTCATGAATAGCAACGCCGGGTTTGCTGAGCCACAATCAATATCTCAGATAGGTTGATTTAGTGCTGTATCTGTTGATAATCCGTTTAAGGAGGATAAGCAAATATTCCTGAACACCTAAAATCTGTTTTGAGATTACATTTGTGGCATGGAAAATGCATTACAACAGCCCATTGGTGTTCAATTTTTGACCTCACTTCATCACAGCGCAACAAGCATCAAAAGATGCCTGACTTCCGTCACTGACACTACCCTGAATAACGAGTGATAAAAAGGACCTTTTCTCTGTGAATTGCATTTTAAAGTGTTACTAAACCCAGGACCCTGCAATCACAATATCTGGTCTCCCACAGTACACAAAACATGGAAATGCAATTATTTTAGTAAATTTAAACTGCTAAATACCTTTTCTCATCAGCAGTTAAAGCAGTCTTGTGACTTCTATCAGTGTCCAGCTGAGCACTGGTTAAGCTTGTAGGAGGAATTTTCATCCTCCTATAACAAGCATGCTTTACTGCATAAACAGATTGATTTTACAGTTGTGGGTTTAGTGACACTTTAAGCATACAAGTATTCTATGCTTAATTTAAAACAACATCGGAGTTGATTTAACAGCTGAGTAGTTAAAATAGCATATTATACCACTACTTACAGGGACACTAAAAACTCTGGTTAAAAAAAACAAAAAAATTAAAGTACTGTGAACTCAAAAAAGTACCTTCTATTGCCCTCAGCCTCCTCCAATTTCTGCCCCTGTGATCTGACTTCCTGTTAGAGGGTGGCTACGTTTGTATTCCATGGTCTGTATGCAGGAACGCAGCCATCCTCTCTTGCACACACAGAGCAGTGTTTGTGACCACATGCATACATCCAAGATGACAACACTCAGTAGTCTCAGGGCTTATGGATGTCTATACAAGCAAGATTTTTACAGGTAAATGAGTAAACACAGTAGGAGACAGGGGGGACAGGAATCCGACACCCAAAATATTGTTTTTTAATGTGTCTTTGAATGGCAATTTCTTGTCCCCTTACCACTGACAATGCCTCTGTGAGGATTTGCAATCTTCTTTACAGGAAACTCTTACTGGTAATTTCCATTTAGCAACTGTAACTTTAACATTAAGCAATTTTAATTAGTGTTGCTCAAAAGGATAATGTATACTAGAAGGGGTGAATTGCTAACTTTTCACAGAGAAAATTATGCCCCACTGCTGATCACAAACAAAAGCCTGGGCATTTAATTTCATGATTTCTGGTGCAGGTAATAATTTAGAGTGGCTGTTCATCTGCATTGGCACTCCTGAGCTTTTGGTCATGTTATCACAACTAAAAGGAAGCCAAGAAGAGCTATTCTTCCCAGAAGAGATAAGTATTGCTATTCATTTTTATGTCTTCATTTTAATGACTGTCAACATGAATAAGTGTAGATCTGCTTTTAAGTTAAAATGTTTAGAGCAATTAATTGACAAAGAAAAGCTAGACCAATGGTTATCAACATGTGAAATCTTGTACTATTCTAAAGGCTTTAACTGGTTCTCCTGTTTGTCAAATGGAATTTAGCAGACACACAAATTATACACATACCAGGAAGTAGTTTAGAAAGAAAGTTAAGTAAATGAACACACCACAGCTCAAATATACATTTTTTCTAGAGGGTTACATAATATATGGACTTTTTTTTTATTTTTACTTTTTTTGCTGTGTGAATGGGAGCACAAACATACAAAATGGGTTTTCTCAAACTTGACAGAAAAAGTGAAAATACACTTTAATCTGTGTAACAACTATAAACAGCACAGACCCACAACATGATCAGCAAAAATGGAAAAGTCTTGGTTACACAGTAGTGTGAATGCAGACCGCTGCAGAACCAGTTATATAACCTGTGCGCGGAGATCCATCAACAGGTCCACCTCAATTGTCTTTTTAAACAGTGAAGGCAAAACATGTTTGCCATTCTAGGGCTGTCCCATAACTCGCTAGTAAAATGCATGCATGATGACACACGTGTATAATGATGGGTGTTATAAGGTGCATTTTCCTATAACTGTCACTGGTTTCTCATTAGTCAACCATTAACCAGCTGTTGCGTTTACTTGTTGAAAAGCATTCTCAGGGGTACTGTATCTGTGACACAAAGAAAACTAACTGTGGGGAAAAAAGTTACATTTGTAAGCCCTAAGAATCTCTTTTAAATGTAACTGTACTTTTATCTTCTACTGGTCTGCCAGACTTAAGGGAGGCCAGACTATGGCCATTGGGAGTAGTAAATGCCTCAGGCTTCATGGGAATAAAAAAATACTCCAGGGTTATGTCAGTGCTTGGGGAAATAATGCTTTCAGTGCTAGGAATTGGGCACCGTCATCATCGTCGGAGTTAGGAATAGTGCACCACCGCTGGTGTCAGAGCTAGCAATAGTGCACTGCTGTTTTCAGAACTAGGAATAATTCACCACCATTGTTATCAGAGCTAGAAATTAGGCACCATCTTCGTTGACAGAGTTAGGATTAGTGCACCACTGCTGGTGACAGATCTAGGAATAGAAATAGTGCACCATTGTCAGTCACAAAGTGCACAACCATTTGTGTTAGTGGCAGAAATAATTCTCAGTCATTGGTGTCAGTGGTAAAACAGGCCATCATCCTAGATGTCAGTGGGAGCAATAGTTCCCACCATTGTGTTAGTAGCAGGTAAAGTGCCCCATTGTTGATATTAGCGAGAGGAATAGTACCAAGAAGAATACCTTAGTTAGAGGAATAGTATGTGTTTATGAGAGGAACAGTACCTCATCCACTGGTATCAGCAATATACTGGCAGGAATATTTCTGATTTGTTGGTGTCAGTACAAGTAACAGTGCATTATTGTTGACGTTTATGGGAGGAATAGATCTCCCCCCTCCTAGCTGTCATGGGGAGGAATAGAGCCTCATCACTGCTATCAGTAGAAGGAATAATTTCCGATCATTGATGTTAATGGCAGAAATAGTTCCCCATTGTTGATGTCCCTAGAACAGTGCTCCAAGGTTTGTATCAGGGGGAGGAATAGTCCCTCATTTGTGTTAGTAGGAGGAATAGTGCCCCATCATTGGCATCAGTGGGAGGAATAGGGTTCAATCATTATATCAATAATGGAAGGAGCAGTACCCCATCACTGGTGTCAGAGGGAGAAGAAAAAAGTCCCATATCTGGTATTAGAGGTTGGTAATAGTGCCTCATCATCTGTATCCATGGTAGGAATAATGCACCATCATTGGTATCAGTGCCTAGCGGTTGCAGTCAGAGGGAGAAATAGTGCCTGATCATTTGTTCAGTGGGAAGCATGTCTCATCACTGTTGTCAGTGACGAGAATTATACCCCATCATTGGTGTCAGTGCAAAGCAGGGTATACACACAGTTTTTGTTTTGTTCAACCAGATGGCTGCACAAAAAAAAAAAACCGCACAGATCCCCGCAGGGAACTTTCCCACTGCATTACTGTATTCCGATAGCGCAGGACTCCTCACCCCTCTCAATTAGAATACGTGCTGACACTAACCCGGTTACTGTTTAACCCAATGGATTTCGATAGGTTTATGCCCAGTTTAAGAAATAGTGCCTCATCATTGGTGGCAATGAGAAGAAATCTGTTGGGTGTTGCTAGAGCAATTTTATCCCAAGGGCTGCGTCTGGCTGGCAGTATAGAGACCACTCTTCTAAAGTAAGAGTAAGTGAGTGTGAGTGTGTGTGTTTTAATGAACAACTTCCGTAGTATGATTTCAAATGCTCTGTATCTCTAAAAAAAAAAATAACGAAAATTTAAATTTATAACAGCATTATAATAGTTATTACTCGTTCACACAAGAGAAAATTCTTGCTTCCTAAAGCCTGAGTCAGCATAATTACTGTGATCAGCTGGCCTAGCTTGCTAAAATTTATTCTGCTGTATTCATTCATATCTGGGATTTCAAGGGTTCAGCCCAAGCCTGACAAACTCTGCATAGTTGTGTGGTATTTTTTGAATATCATATATTCTGGGCTTCAAATAAAATAAAAAAGTATATTATACAGAAAAGGATATAGAGAAAGTGTTTTCAATTTTGCTTATGTTTTTAGTAGACACCATACTCCACATTAGTATATGTACAGTATTTTATTGCTTCATTTAAAGCAATTTGGGAAAGTTGTGAATGTGGCAGACTTTACCTTGTTCATCTTCAGCAAACAACTTCAATGCCTCAAGTGCTTCATGAAAAGACCAGTCATGTTCTTGAAGAACCTCTCTAAGCTCCTATTCAAAAACAAATATTGCATAATTACAGAACGTCTTCATCACATTAGTTACGGATCAAGAAATCAAACACTGCCATGTCAAAAACTCATGAAACGAGCACATGCTGCCAGCAAAAAGGCAATTAATAGTATAAGGAGACTTAAAGCATTCAACTTAACAAGAGGAGGAAATCTAAAATAAAACAATGTAGATGAATAAAAGACTACCAAGTGTGTCTGCACAGGAAAGAGGGATTATGTAAACAATCCGATGACTGTTAAACCAGAGGCAGGAAGACAGATACAGAATGGTGAATGGAAACAGGCCACAGTTGGTGTATTGCAGATTTGTATACATATGTCACAACTATTGATGAATGTTGTGAGTTTTTATTGTGATTTCTGTAGGTATTCTGTTGTATGGAAGGTGCGCTTCAGGATATAAAGCAGCCCACTGATGGGCAATTTTCTTTCCTTCTACCCATGGTGGTAGGAAAGAAAATCAAATCAATTCCCCCATCAACGCAGTCATTGTTGTTGGGGGGGAATACCTCCCGCAACGCCATTGTGTTCTGCCGGCAGGAAGCCTTCCCAGCCAGCAGAATACGATTACTGCCATCCATCTGGTCTGCCCTAAAAACTGACAAGAAGACCTGATTGGACCCTTCGAGTGAAAGGGGCCTTAAAATAATTTATCCTTTTGCAAAAAAAAGAAAGGGCGCTATACAGAAAAGAGCTGCCAACTCAAAAGCATAGCCAACAGATGTAATGGCTAGGAAAACAACCTTACGAGTGAGCTCTTCCAGTCAAATATCTTTAATTGGCTCAAAGGGAGGTCTCTGAGCACAGAGAGCAGAAGGTTGAGATCCAAAGGTGACAAAAGAAGATCCAACTGAGGGATTTATAGGAGCAATTCCCTCCTACCCTCAAGGTCTTGATAAGGGATTGCAAGACAATAGGTTTTTGGAATAAAATGGATAATGCAGAAATCTCTCTTTGATGGTAATCAGGGCTAGATGCTAGTTAATCCCATACTGAAGAAATGGCACAATAAAAGTCAGCAGCCCCACTCAACATAATGTCCACACACCAGGTAATATATGCCTTCCATGTGCAATGATGAACCTTATGGAAGTCAGATTTTCTTTCTCTGAGTAAGGTGGGAATAACGAAATCAGAAATATCTCTATCCTTTAGGATTTGGGGTTTTAACAGCCATGCCATTAAAGACAGCAACTGAGAAGCAGGATGGAATAGGGAGCCTTGGGACTGTTTGGAAGAGGTGGAAAGAATATCACTTTACATAGCAAGGAAAGTTTTTGTCTAAGGCCCCTTTCAGGTGGGGCAGTCCATTTTGATCAGCAGGGGATCTGGCTTAACTGCCATAACTCCGAGTATGTCTAAACTACATTCTTCTGTGCTATTTTGATGCAATGAAAACCACTGGAACTCTTTTCTCCTCTATCTTGTGCATCAGTTAAGGTAAGATCTTCACCAGAGGAAAGGAATAAACAAGCTTGACTTGAGTCCAAGGAATCACCATAGCATCTACTGCAAAGGCGAGAGAATCCTTTGGTCTTGGCTATGAATTTGTTTAACCTGTTGTTGAATCTGGAGGCCAGATGTCCACATCTGATTTTATCTACCTTTGACAGAGATTTTGAGAGATCTCTGGGTGCAGAGACCACTCCCCTGGGTCTAGATGTTGACAGCTTAGGAAATCCACCTGATAAACATCCACCTCAGGGATGTGGATGGCTGAGAGAGTTGGAATATGAGTTTTTTCTCTTTTGTTTCTTTTAGGGCAGCTTGACTTCTGGTGTCGTCCAATGATTTATGTATGCCTCTGCTGTGGCTTTGTCCGACTGTACCCTGATTGGGTAACCTTGCAGAAGGACGGTTCAGTGTTGTACAGATCATCTGATGACTCTAAGTCCCAGAATGTTGATGGGAAGTCTTGACTACTGTGGGGACTATGTCCCCTGGATAGTGAGGGAAATGTAAACGCTGCCCCGGCCTGTATGACTGGCATGTACAAATACAAGTTCTGTATCCTGTACTATATTAACATAACATTTTTTTTTTTTGTGCGCACTGTAAAAGTCAATTAATCTTTTTGCTGCCAGACTTATGCCAAGAATCTGAAGGGGCCAACCCAGATTTCAGATGAAAGCGATGTACTCAATTGCTTCCCCACACCCCAGCAACACTGTCCCCCAGGCTCCGCCATCTCATCAGTGGACTCAGCATGACAAGTGCCGTTGGGTAAAGGGGAGAGAGATCAACAAATATCTATTCACTGATCCTCCTTCCCTACTAAGAACCCAGAAGTGACGTGTAAAACACACGGTTTCTGGTGTCACTTTCATCTGACAATCTGCCCAGGGAAGAAGCTAATGGAGAGCATTTACACTCCATTAGCTTCATTGGAGGGCAGGTGAGGCATAACCTTGACATTTCATAAACAGAACCTGTTACAAAAAAAAAAAAAGGTAATCTTATCTTCCTTCTCAAGATCTCAAAATGTTCAAAAGCAGTCAAAAGTGAGGGATGGGCAAAACAAACAGTTAATGGGCTCAAGTACAAACAACAGAACTGGGGACTCTCAAAAAAGGTTATAGAACTGTGTGCCAAGTGGCCTACCCCATTTTTACAGCAGCTGTGCTTTACCTTACAAGTGAAAACTCTGAATTTTTAAAAAGCCTAGACTAACCCATTATTGTTTTTACTCACAAACTAACCTTGTTATTAACCACTTCAAGTCCGGACACTTTTACCCCCTTCCTGTCCAGGCCAATTTTTCACTTTTCAGTGCTTTCACACTTTGAATGACACTTGCGAGGTCATGCAGCACTGTACCCATATGAATTTTTTAGCATTTTTTTGAGACAGATAAAACTTTATTTTGGTGGTATTTATTCACCACTGAGATTTTTATTTTGTTTTACTATATAAACAGTTTGGGGAAAAAAAAAAAGTTTTTCTTCATAAATCTTGACCAAAAATTATTCAGTTATCTTTTTAGTAAAAAAAAAAAAAAACAAAACAAAAAAAAACCCAAATTAGTTTACAACCAAAAAAATATAATTAAAAAAAAAAATGTTTACATTTTTATTTTTTTTTTATATTATGTTTTTTTTTTTTTTTTTTAACATACTGTCACAGTAGAAGTACAGTGTCACCATAGTGACACTGTACTACTTGTGGGGGGTGATGATGATTTTTTTTGTACACTGATTGCTTTTACACCCATAAAGGCTGTAAAAGCAATCATTTCTCTTTCTCTCTGGCTGCATTCTTGCATCCATTGAGAAATACTGTGAGAGCTGTGATTGGTCACAGCTTGCTACATGGTACAAGGCTGTTGTGAATAGCCTTGTACCATGTGACCTCTGTGATCATTCACAGATTTCACAAGTAGTAAGCAATAATGTCAGAAGTGACATCTTGCTTACTACTATTCATGTGATCACTGATTGGCCAATCAGTGATTACATGATTGGGACCTCACAAAGAGGTCCATTACAGCGATCGGTGTTCCGCTCTGTTCTCCAGGCACAGCGGGCACCAGATCACGGTGCCGCGCACTCCCAGGGAGCGCACACAGGCTAAAATGATGGACGGCAACCCTCTCCTGCACTGCTCCCGTCCGGCTGTTTATATACATGGCTCGGACGGGAAGTGGTTAATCACTGTGAATAAAATCCTGTGTAAGCCAATGCAAATTTATCAACAAAAGAAAAAACACATGTCACTTTCTTGTGTGCAATTGTGCAGTCCCAAACAGACAAAAAAAGCTTCAAGTCCTTATGTGGATAGTACAATCCTTTCAGTAACCCAAGCCAAAAACAAATCTTGAATGTAATATTATGTGGTCTCCACCAGGTGACAATTAACACCACCACTTCACTGTGGCCTTCCATTTGTGAGTTAGACAAAATGTAATGGTTTAGCGCTTGGCTTTATTATAATTTATATTAGAACTCGGGACTACATGGAGCTCAAAGGGATTCCTGAAGGACCTTATGTCCAAAGTGACATCAGAGAAGGCAGAAACGTCCATCTGGAAAAACTTGGAGAACATGTGAACAGAAGACCAGGTGACAGCCTTCAAAAATGTAGAAACAGCTGCTTGATGCGGAGAAGCCCAAGAAGGACTTGCAGATTAGGTAGAGTGCACCTTGAAATGAAAAGATGGAATCTGATCCTTGAGCCCATAAGCCTGGATGATGGTTAGTCTGAGACACTTAAGAGATGGTGGAATGAGAAGCCGGTGCAACCTTACTGGGACCATCTATTAAGACAAAAAGGCATTAGTCTTTCTGAAAGAAGCAGTGGTTGGCAGACTCTCACATAATGAATCGTATCTAGACAAGAGAATATTTTGTTTGGTTTGGTGAAGTGTGGATGGACAGAGGGACGGAAAAGCTATTCCCTGCTTGAGATGAAGGCACTGCCTTTAGGTAAGAAGGAGGTCCTTTGCCTCAATATCATCTAATTCCCATGCAAAAACCAGAGGGGGTTCCTTGCAGGATAAAGCCTCTACTTCAGACCCTCAACTTACAGAGGTAATAGATACAGGGAACACAACTTTGAGGGTGGGAGAAGAAAGGAATGTCTCTAATGGGTTCAAATGTTGGTTCTGAAGTCTAGAGAGAACCAGAGTCAGATCCCATAAAGTCAAAGGGGAACAAACAGGGGAGATATATGGGAGACTCTCTGTACAAAGGTCTTAAAGAAGTGAGAAGCCAACAGCCTCTGAAACAAGACAGAAAAGGCATAAAACTAGCTCTTGACAGTGCTGAAAGCCAAACAATGGTTCAGAACACCTTCTGAAAGGAGGAGTTGTTCCATGCGCCCCTAGACTCACACCAAGTCTTTCATGCCAAAGAGATCTTGCAGGAAGTAGCCTTTCCAGCTTTTAGTATCACAAGAATCAGATTCATAAATGTCCGTCTCTTAAAATAACTGGCATTTAAAAGGGGATTTTGTTCTAAGGGAGGGTTATAAATACCGTCAGTTTTTTTGGTCATCTGTGTCCCAATGGGGATATTTCCCTTCACTTCCTGTCACATATCCAAAATAGGAAGTGAGATAAATCCCTCCAAAGTGAGGGAATCCCAGTGTGTCACTAGGGTCACAAAAATTGGTGTCCCCATAGATTTCCTCTCTATTACGGTTTTGCTATCAACTCAAAATTTGGTATTTTATTTTACTTTCCATTTCAATAATGATAAACAGGAAAAACGGAGAGTGAATCTCCCTAACAGGGACACAGACAGCAATAAAAAAATTGACAGGTGTTCTAATCTCTTTCCATTTAATCCAAAACTAAAAAGAAAAAAAAAAATTGCCTCTAATGACACTTTACTAAACAATAAATAGTAATTACAAGATTTATTGTGTTTTCTGAAAATAGTCTGTACCGTGAAGGTTTACTAGGTTTGTAGTGTCACTACAGGCAAAAAGTTTATTTTTTAACTTAATTTTTGGATAGAGTAGAAGAGAATTAAAACTCCTGTCAGGCAAATCTCCAACATCAGGGAGATTCACCCTCTTTTTGTCCTGTTTACCATTATCATTGAAAGTGAAAGTAAAGAAAATCCCAAATATTTGGGTTGACATCAGAACAGTAATAGAAGGGAAATCTTCCAATGGGGACAATAATTCTGGGGATTCTGGTGACACCCCAAAATTCCCTCACTTTGGAGGGATTTTCTCTCACTTCCTGTTTGGATTATGGAACAGGAAGTAAAGGAAAAACTCCCAAATGGAACACAGAGGGCAAAAAAAATGGGACAGGGGTTATAACCCTCCCTTATTCTATCCAAAATGTTTTGCCGTTAGTGATACTTTACAGTGAATAAGAGGACATACAGTAATGTATTTTTAGGTATATTAAAAATGAGTTACACTGTTAAAGGCTCATTTTCACTGCAGCTGCTAAACTGACGTTTAGGAGCAGTTGAGCGTTTGTTTTCAGCAGGGAGCCCCCCTACCCCAAAGCCCCCCCATGTTGAGGGCATGTGGCCTGGTATGGATAGGCAATGGATTGCTGGCAATTCTTTCTTTTACATTCAGCTGAAACATCAACGCATGCTTTTCACTACTAAAATACCACATGACTTGATAAAATAACTCATGCGCTATTTTAGTAGCCTTTTTTAATGAATTTACTATTTTTCAGTGCATTCTGGGCATTTGGGAGGGTCTCTGGAGGTTATATTTTAAAAACTCTTCTAAACGCAAAACGTACACACGGCTAAATGCACAAAAACAAAGTAGGAAAACGCAGCTAAACTAACGGTTTTAACCTACATTTTCTAGCAGTCAGTTTCCAGCGGTCAGAAGAGTTTTTCAAACGCCCTGTGTACATGAGCCCTAAAGGTTGGCATGCAATAAATGCCTACAATTTAGTAAAGGGTTAATACAGTCAGGTCCATAAATATGGGACATCGACACAATTCTAACATTTTTGGCTTTATACACCACCACAATGGATTTGAAATGAAACTAACAAGATGTGCTTTAACTGCAGACTGTCAGCTTTAATTTGAGGGTATTTACATCCAAATCAGATGAACGGTGTAGGAATTACAACAGTTTGCATATGTGCCTCCCACTTGTTAAGGGACCAAAAGTAATGGGATAATTGGCTTCTCAGCTGTTCCATGGCCAGGTGTGTGTTATTCCCTCATTATCCCAATTACAATGAGCAGATAAAAGGTCCAGAGTTCATTTCAAGTGTGCTATTTGCATTTGGAATCTGTTGCTGTTAACTCTCAAGATGAGATCCAAAGAGCTGTCACTATCAGTGAAGCAAGCCATCATTAGGCTGAAAAAACAAAACAAACCCATCAGAGAGATAGCAAAAACATTAGGCGTGGCCAAAACAACTGTTTGGAACATTCTTAAAAAGAAGGAATGCACCGGTGAGCTCAGCAACACTAAAAGACCTGGAAAGACCACGGAAAACAACTGTGGTGGATGACCAAAGAATTCTTTCCCTGGTGAAGAAAACACCCTTCACAACAGTTGGCCAGATCAAGAACACTCTCCAGGAGGTAGGTGTATGTGTGTCAAAGTCAACAATCAAGAGAAGACTTCACCAGAGTGAATACAGAGGGTTCACCACAATATGTAAACCATTGGTGAGCCTCAAAAACAGGAAGGCCAGATTAGTTTGCCAAATGACATCTAAAAAAGCCTTCACAGTTCTGGAACAACATCCTATGGACAGATGAGACCAAGACCAACTTGTACCAGAGTGATGGGAAGAGAAGAGTATGGAGAAGGAAAGGAACTGCTCATGATCCTAAGCATACCACCTCATCAGTGAAGCATGGTGGTGGTAGTGTCATGGCGTGGGCATGTATGGCTGCCAATGGAACTGGTTCTCTTGTATTTATTGATGATGTGACTGCTGACAAAAGCAGCAGGATGAATTCTGAAGTGTTTTGGGCAATATTATCTGCTCATATTCAGCCAAATGCTTCACAACTCATTGGACGCCGCTTCACAGTGCAGATGGACAATGTCCCAAAGCATACTGCAAAAGCAACCAAAGAGTTTTTTAAGGGAAAGAAGTGGAATGTTATGCAATGGCCAAATCAATCACCTGACCTGAATCCGATTGAGCATGCATTTCACTTGCTGAAGACAAAACTGAAGGGAAAATGCCCCAAGAACAAGCAGGAACTGAAGACAGTTGCAGTAGAGGCCTGGCAGAACATCACCAGGGATGAAACCCAGCGTCTGGTGATGTCTATGCGTTCCAGACTTCAGGCTGTAATTGACTGCAAAGGATTTGCAACCAAGTATTAAAAAGTGAAAGTTTGATTTATGATTATTCTGTCCCATTACTTTTGGTCCCTTAACAAGTGGGAGGCACATATGCAAACTGTTGTAATGCCTACACCGTTCACCTGATTTGGATGTAAATACCCTCAAATTAAAGCTGACAGTCTGCAGTTAAAGCACATCTTGTTTGTTTCATTTCAAATCCATTGTGGTGGTGTATAGAGCCAAAAATGTTAGAATTGTGTCGATGTCCCAATATTTATGGAGCTGACTGTATATGGAAGGGTAAAAACATGGCCTAATTGTGTAAACAAAAGTGACTGAAAAGAACATATTAAAGGTTAAGGTAGGCCAAAAGAAGATTAGTGTGGGATTGTGAGAGAATGGCAGCAGTGAACTGAGGCCACCCTTAATCTGCAGGTTCACATTTCATATCAAACCTTCACCTGTCATCTCCCTCCTGTCAAGATAAAACCACAAAGTGTGTGATCACTACTGTATGAAGCAGTACCTCTAGGGTATGACTAAGATGGAGAAGAATGTAGCAGTGGCCACATGTGCTCCTTTTCAGCTTACTGGTGTAGCTCACCATCACTTTCCTTTAAAGAGCTGAAAGGGAGAAATATGGAGGAGTGCTATGTTCACAAATAATCCTTTCAACAATGTGACATCTTACATGGAGCAATGTGTGCTCTGCAGTCTGCTAAGACAGAAGTAAAGTTCAACCACCACATGGAGGCAGAAGTTGGGCAGAACAAAGAACTATTACAAGCCCTGCAATGAGGCAAAGAAAAGCATGTGGACATGGCACAGCAGATTGGAAGAACGCAGGGAAGAACATTGGCATTGCGGGATGCTTTTTTGCTTAGAGCACCGCAAAATTGTACATGTGTATCTCTTGGAAACTCAGTGCTGACAAAGCTACCAACAAATTGAGTTTTGTACACTCTGACCTGGTCAGAAAAATATCTTTCCCCTGACAAAATCATAAAAATGTAGCAGCCTAATATTTAAATAATGTATTGCTAAATAACAAAAAAAAATTTTTTTTGAACACCTCAAGGATTAGATAAAGCATTTTTGTGTCAAAGTCTGTGTATGCATATAGAATACACACATATACACACACAGAAAATGCAGCCCAACATTGCTGGGCAAACCGTATACTACTTCTATTTTCTCTTTGCATACATACAGTGATGGTTTGTTTTCTTTAGTGTTCTACTTCACACTCTAGCTTATGTTCCAGACACAAACCACTGTGATTAAGACATTCGTTTTTCACTTATTAAATGCCTAAGAAATGGCGCACTTCTCTTGTGCAGTAAAAAGAGAATCCATGCAGAGGACAACCAAAAATATTGCAGCAGTGCTCTGACCTCCTTATCCAAATCAGGAAAATGCTTCTGCAGCTTTTTTACACTGGCCTCTTGTTTTTCCCATTCTTCTTCAGAGCCTGAGCTGTCGCTGTCCACACCAAACTGCAAACGATCAAGAAAATAGGTTTTAGAATGAGAGGATTCAGAAATTAACCAAACAAAATCAAATATGTGTTAAGAAAAAACAATAAGATTCTTATATACTAAAATAAATTAATATATATTTTATTGATCAATGTGGGAAGAGATATGTTCTAATGCTGTAGACTTTGGACTGCACAGGCCATGGCACTAGAAGAGGAAAAGAAAAAAAAACAAACAAAAACAGATCTCATTCTTGCACATAAAAAAACATTCAAAAACAGGAGATGCTTGCTAGATTTGCAGATCAGAGTATCAGGAGTTGATTTATGTGCTAAACTACATTTAACATTTATTTTTTTTTCCTTTAGCACTTTTATGTGCTTTAGAGGTATACTAATAATAAAAATTAAACAGTTTTGATATAATTTTAATAAAGATAAAAGAATATATTTCCTAAGGGTATATAAATCTAATGGTTGAACTGGACACCTACAGTATCCCAACTTACTCCAGAAAAACTATGCTTCTTCTATGAGCAGTACTGGAGCAAGGAGCTACTCCATTTGCTATTGAGATTGTTATAAATTGCTTACTGCCATAACCAAGGGGATACATGACCAAGAGGATACATCCTTGGCTGTAAAGTAGCATGGAGCAAAATACTTCTATACATTTTTGAAACAGACAGCCCAGAAATATGCAAAGCCCTCCCTAAAGAATAAGGTGGCAGCATATGACTCAACCTGTCACTTGCACCTACATTTGAAATATCACTTTTGTATGAAGGGCATCAACTTATTTGTACATTTACCCTATGTATAACAAGCTTGCCGGAACTTGACCTTTGGGAATTTTGCATCAGTGATAAACAATGCAATGGTGCCCAACCAATTTTCTCTAAGTTGCTCTAAGCCTTGGTTCACACTGCTGCAATACTGCTGTGCTTCTGTGAGGTTTGAAACACAGAAAGCTGCAAGACACTAAAAAATACATTAATTTAAATGAGTGCCATCTTCATTGCTGTGACTTCAGTTGCAACAACAAAAACACTTTAGTGGTGCAGCATGACTGCCATAGACTTCAATGTAAAATCTCAAGCATGTGGTATATGTGTCTTACCTTTAAAAGGTTTTCTGGGAAAATATATTTATGAGGCAGCATCAGGGGCAGACTGACCATTTGGAAACTCGGGCACTGCCCGAGGGCCCAGGGTCAGTAGGGGGCCCCATGAGATGCCCCTGGTACCTTTTTCATAGGCTTTTTTGAGTTTGGGCAAGGACATAGGGGCCACATGATCCCCTATTGCCCAGGGGCCCCACGAGTTGTCAGTCCTCCCCTGGGCAGCATATGTTTGGTTCATGCAAGACAAAGCAACAAGAATCACTTTAATGGCAGCCCTACCAGCATCACTTTCCTCATCCTTCAATTTTCCATCGCTCCATTTAGCCAGTGAAGAAAATCAGCTGGTACCTTCGGGTATGATGAATACGTGACGGAGTGGCGGTTCACATATATGCGGATTGGATGCGATTTGAAGCACATCCATTCCGCATGATATGTGAAGCAACATTACTTCCTATGGTACCTGTTCATATACACTATATTGCCAAAAGTATTGGGTCGCCTGCCTTTACATGCACAGGAACTTTAATGGCATCCGTAGGGTTCAGTATTGAGTTGGCCCACCCTATGAAGCTACAACAGCTTCAACTCCTCTGCGAAGGCTGTCCACAAGGTTTAGGAGTGTGTCTATGGAACTGTTTGACCATTCTTCCAGAAGCGCATTTGTGAGGTTTGACAATGATGTCGGATGAGATAGCCTGGCTCAGTCTCTGCTCTAATTCATCCCAAAAGTGTTATTGGGTTGAGGTGCAGGCCAGTCAAGTTCCTCCCCCCCAAACTCGCTCATCCATGTCTTTATGGACCTTGCTTTGTGCACAGTTATTTTGGAACAGGAAGGGGCAATCCCCAAACTGTTCCCACAAAGTTGGGAACATGAAATTGTCCAAAATGTCTTGGTATGCTGACGCCCTAAGAGTTCTCTTCACTGGAACTATGGGGCCAAGCCCAACCCCTGAAAAACAAACCCCACACCATAATCCCCCCTCCAAACTTTCCACTTGGCACAATGCAGTCAGGCAAGTACCGTTCTCCTGGCAACCACAAAACCCAGACATGTCCATCGGATTGCAAGACAGAGAAGTGTGATTCGTCCCTCCAAAAAGGACACGTCTCCACTGCTCTAGAGTCCAGTGGCGGCGTGCTTTAAACCACTGCATCCAAAATTTTGCATTGTACTTGGTGATGTAAGGCTTGGATGCAGCTGCTCGAACATGGAAACCCATTCCATGAAGCGCTCTATGCACTGTTGTACTAATCTGAAGGCCACACAAAGTTTGGAGGTCTTTAGCTATCGACTCTGCAGACAGTTGGTGACTTCTGCACACTGTGCAATTCAGCATGCGCTCACCCCACTCTATCATTTTACGTGGCCTACTACATCATGGCTGAGTTGCTGTTATTCCCAGTTGCTTCCACTTTGTTATAACACCACTAACAGTTGACCGTAGAATATTTAGTAGCAAGGAAATTTCACGGATGGACTTACTACACAAGTGGCAACCTATCAAGGTACCACGCTTGAATTCACTGAGCTCCTGAGAGCGACCCATTCTTTCACAAATGTTTGTAGAAGCAGTCTGCATGTCTAGGTGCTTGATTTTATACACCTGTGGCTATGGAGGTGATTGGAAAACCTGAATCCAATGATTTGGAGGGGTGTCCCAATACTTTTGGCAATATAGTGCATGTCTGATGCACTGGCAGCGTGGATTCAGTGTGGTTTGAAACAGAGTCATGTGCGATTTCTGAGCAGTGCGGTCCAGTTCAGGTGCGGATTAGAGACTATTGACTATTATTGGAACCGTTTCTAAACCGCACATTGGCTGTGAACAGGATAAAATCCTGATCTGACCTGAATCTGATGTAAACCTGACCTGAACCGCTGAATGACTACTTTGTCAATTAGCTGTGAAACCTGAGCTTCAATCCGCACCGCACATGTGTGAATCAGCTCTAAATCTTCATCCTTCCACGTGACAGAAATGGTGTTTGATGATTGTTTGCCCATGCACCAATTGCTGTCACATGAGAGCAATGAGTATCCTTTGCCCTGTGTAGGTTTCAAGATGCAGTTTGGAGCTTGCAGATTTTTTTTCCTCTCTTTGCATTCATTAGACTCTACAAACAAGGAGAAAAAAAAACATGCAACCTTTTTCTAAATGTGCTGGGAAAAGCCACTCACCACCTTTCTACAGTGAATTAGAATGTCAATTCTTAGCGATACTGTAGCACTAAAAACACCTAAGATGTTACATAAAGTCTCCGAGTCCCTTTCAGAACAGTGTACACAATTTATTAATATGGAGATCTGCATCCACCAGATCATCCTACTGTTCCCTTTGACAGAGACAATCACAAGCTGCGTCTAGGACAGAAGCACGCACACAGACAAGGGTAACTACTGCCAAAAGGAAAGAAGAGGGAGTGTCAGACTGAATGTAGACGTTAGAAACATCACTAAAACCTCAGGGAGCAGACATGCTGTCTCCAAAAGAAATTGCCTGCCTACTTTTATGTCCAAGATGAAATATCTGAAATAAAAAAAAAACTGTTCAAGTTTTATTACCTTAAAAAAAAGTGTCTACAATTCATAGCTTTCCTGAATCATTAGTACTATAAGGCTCAGTTCACAATCCCGCAACTTGGGATTCGACTTGTGAGACCCCAATGAGAGCTGTCTTAAATTAGCACTACTGAAGTCACTACGACTTTAGAAAAGGTTTCTGTAATGCTTCAAGGCCACTTCTATCCAACTTGTGCCCATAAGCTTTAATGGAAGTCGCCTCCAAGTCAGATCCTCATCTATATTGATGTGATTTCGATCGGACATTACAGGAAGATCACCCAGGCATTCCCTGAAAAGTTGGTTCAGAGTTGCTTCAAAGTAGTACTCAAGTTGCCTAGCAAAGTTGCACTGCAAATCACGCGACTTTCAGGTATCAGTAGTGTGAACAGAGACTAAAACAACATTCCACATTATAACAGTTTTAAGCATAAATTACTTCTGGAAAGGAAGCTAACACTTAAAGCTCATCTCACAGCACACATTTCTTGAATAACTGTAGGTTTCTATATACCTTTAAAATAAATGCAAACCCTTACCTTGTAAAATAACCCATTCAGTTTTTAAAAAACGCAAAGCAAGATATGTACATTATACATATTTTTTTTTAATAAGTGATCACATGCCCTCTGTTCTCAGCTGCATAAGGGGCTTGTAAATGTGGGGATGAAGACTGCAGGGGGAACCTCTCAGCAGAAGGCAGAGAAACAACAGTACAATGATCTTCCCATCAAAGAATTATGCAAGGGGAAGTGTTTGACCATAGGAGTATGGGTAGGCTGTACTCCCAAGAAGAATATAAGAATAAAATTGACCAAACTGGGATGGATGCGCTTCCATGCAAAGAGAACAGGTTACTTTTTATTACCATAGGACATGGTAAGACAGACATATTAAAAATAAGACATGTTGGAGTAACATACACTTTAAGTGCATGTTAACATATGTTTTGACACAACTTGTCTCTGCTGTCACAGAAGCCTTTTGATAGGTTTGCTTTTGGGTGCCTGAAGGCACGTACTTCCTCTTCAAGACCAGTTACTCCAGCCTGCTTTCTATCTTCTAAAATAATATTTTCTGCAAAGCAAAGGCACTAGGTTTAAAGCTATCGGTTTGATGAGAGTGGGTATATTCTTCCTATGATTTACTCCAGTTACGCTTCATCAACCCAAAAACATGAAAAACTTCTAGAACATAGGCACATAGGCTTGTTTGATGCTGGTAAAGTCAGCAGTCTGTAAACCCTTCCAGGGCAGTGACTGATGTACAAAAAAAAGCCTTAAAACTAAAGCATTTTATTGCGGTGTGTGGTGAAAACATATGAAAGATCCTAAAATGAAAAAGTGTAAGGTGGAACTACCAATAACTAAGTTGGTAAGGCAAGGAAGAAACAACTGACCATCAGTGTCACAGAAAAACTTACAGAATCCGATTTCTTCTTTTTTGCAGCCTTTTCCTCAGCTCCATCCTGGGAATGGTCATCTGCCTTTCTTTTTCGAGATGAGTTTTTATCTATATATGTTAAAAAAGTATATTATTAAACATTACTATTACTGCTGACACATGCTTACAATGCACATACTGACCATGCATAAAATATTGTCAAAAAATCTAGAAAGACCAGAGTCACAAAACATGGACTTCTTTCAAGGTACAATATTTTTTTATCTGGCTGATTAAAAAAAAAAAAATACACACAAAAGACTGCAGTGTAATTAAAGAACCCTTTTAACACAAAAATAATGATTAGATATTAGTATATTAAGCAGAGAAATTAATCGTATATAGTATATATATTTATATATTTTTCATTTCACAGGTCTTTTTATCTAGGACACATTTTTGGTGCTTAAAAAGCACTGCCACTTTTTCCATTCAAGGCAATGTGTTATTGTCTCCCGGTAGCTCCCCCAAGCAAGGTATACTCACTCTTCACCATGCAAGCATGCTCGGGCCTGAGTGATGAGCTCTAACACCACTCAACCTTGAATCTTACCCAGAGTGGACTATGACTGCGGGGAGGCAGCAAGGGAGCATGCATCAGTGAGCATACCTTGCTGGGAGGTAACTATCAGGAGATACTATCAATTTGTCATGGATGAGCACAGTTGCAGTGTCTCTTCAAAGTAAACTGAGGCACAGTTTAAAACTAAAATTGAATGAACTGGTAATAGAACTGGACCTCCTCTGATACATTATTGGCCCCACTGAACAAAACAGAGGCTGTCATTGCCCATTTGCTTATTCTGCAAATGGTGTGCCTATCAAGCTGATTCTTCCTTCAAAACGTCTCTTGTTCACTAACCCAGGACAAGAATGCTATTGACTTAAAGGATAAGTTCACCTTTAGGAGCATGTTACACCCATATTTAAGGTGTAACAAGCTCCTATTCACCAAACCCCTCCCCCCTTCTCGCTGCCAGTAACCCCCTTCCCAGTGAAAGCGGGTGGGGGTCTTCTCCCCATTGTCATATTTTGAAAACAGAGCCCTGCACATCGGCATCATTCATTTACAGCAATCTATGAATGCGAAAATTGCAAGTCCCTTTTGCCACCATGGCAGACGTCTTGTAGTTCTAAATGAGCTGCAAGGGTGCTGATCAGCACCCTCATAGTTCATTCACAAGCCCTGCAGCTTTCAAACTGACAGCCTGCAAAGAGGTATGGGCAGAAAGCTGCAGGAGCCTTACACTGCACCCGTGATCTACTGACCGCAGGTGCAATGTTCTGCAGGTTCCTGTGAACTTCCCTGACATGCACTTTGGTCAGCGGGTAAAAGTATCAACCAGACAGCTAGACATTTCACAAAGTCAGCAATGGCACCCCCCCCCCCCCCCCCCATATTTACGCTTACTTGAACTAATCACCAATAAATTATAAAGGGCTATTTTACATTTTACTGCATTGTAAAACACCTATCACCGCAAGGACGCAAAGAAAAAAAATGTTTCCTGTGTGTTTCATTCACACTGCAATGACAGAGCACTGTACAGAATCGCATGGCATTGTACAGCAGCGCATTGCATTATGCTTCTGTACAGTGCCACAAAGTGAAAGTTTTGTAAGCTTAACAAAATGACTGTACAAATAAAAAAGAAAAAAAAAAAAACACCGGGAACGGGGGGGAACAGCAACGGACAGCTGCTGGAGAGGTAAAGCGTTCTGGCAGCTGTTCATTCCCGTGTAAACCCAGCCTAAATGTATTTATGTACATACATTTGACTTGCTGTCATCCTCTTATGTCTACTGTAAAGCAGCACAAGAAGACAAAAAGTTCACATGCACCTTGTTAGTATGATGATAGGAGGAGAAAGCAGAGTAACAGATAATCCTATTAAATGTGCTACTCATCCTTTCACTTACTAGCCACAGCCTCAGAGACAGTAGGATGAATGATACAGGTAGTCAAAACTGGAAGACTGTAAAGACATACATACATTTTTTTTTCAATTTTATCTTTGAGCCATCTTTTTTTTTTTTTGGTTGTAGTTCTGCTTTAGAAGTCTTGTGTTACATCCTACTGTGCAATGTACAGGGGTGCTATTAACAATGAATAGCACTGTACATACAGAAATGGAAATGGGTCCTACAGAGTTAATACAGTTTATAAACAGAGACTCTATTATACAACAGGGAGAAAACAAACCTGGAAAGCATATTCAGAGAGACCCATTCATTTTACTCAGAAAAATGCTTATGTCAGATCATTTCTTGTCTACCTGGGGATTTTGGATATGACAAGATAATGAGCCACTCACATGATAGAAAGTGCTGAAATTTTTAGTTTGATTAGCAGCTGAATTTTTTCACTGCTTTGATCCGTCTATGAAACTTAAAGGACACACCTCAGGCAGAATACCATTATAGCTAGCAAGCAGAACATGGTTTTGTGTGTTCATCTGATGGTCAGTCACAGACCAGGCTACACTAGGAAATACAATGTAAAAACAGTAAGGTGCACAAAACGTATATTTAACAAAAAAAAAAAAAAAAAAAAGCTATCTGGAATTTTTCTGTGTCTGCCTCTGGCTATTTTCTGAACATTATTTATGCATATCTGCGAATTTATCATTTTATACCCCCATTAAACTTAATGTAACATCAGATTGCATTTATGATGCAAATTATCCATAAAGCAGATGTTGAACAAGGTTTCAGCAGCTTACAGAACCAGAAGTGCCTCAAGTTAAAGCAGATGCTATTAAACGAAAACACGTCTTTACCTGTTGAAAAATTTTTAAATGTGGACAGCAGCTGTGATGTGCCCCCTGAATGCCGAAATGGCAGACTGCCCCAGAGGGTGTGCACTGCTGGCATGGTGTACAGAAGTCAAATCCACACAAGATTTCCATATTACAGCAAATATTTGAAATAACGAGTATGAAAGAAAATAAGAGTATGCTACCAAGCCAAGAGATGCAGATGAAGATTAAATGTGCAGGGATTTTATTGGTAAGACATTAAGCCCTGGTTCACACCAAAGCAAGTTGTCATGCCACTTGCCGCTTTGAAGTCGCATGACAAGTCAATCCAATGTGTGTCTATGGCCCCTTCTAATAGATGTGACTCAAATCACAGGGACTTTAAAAAGGTTCCTGCGCTACTGCAGTGCGACTTGCTTGCAACTTGCATTGAGCTGTATGATTAAAGTCGCCTGAAGTGACAGCAAGTCGCACGATAAAGTTGAACCACTTTAAAGTTGCATTGGTGTGAACTGGGGCTTATGAGAACAATCAGGGTTGGGCATTTATAAAAATCTGAATCTCTACTCAGAGTGCCGCATAGGTGTGTATCATTATTCACTTCTGTTCTCCTATCAAATGGTCAGCCAGCTGTTAGATTGTGTGGCTACTCCATAGGCTGACCTGTCTTTCTACTTACCCTCAGACAGGACAACGGAAACATTTTCTTAGCTGCTGAAAGACTTTAAAACGGTCATTAAATTATTTAACCCTTTGTGATACAAACTGTTTACATCTAAGTCTTCAGCACTGAGCTCAGACAGCCAGGACAGTTTTAAAGCCTAACAATTCTACACTGTCAGTGAGAGAAAAGATTAAAAAGAAAAAATTCCTTAGAATGCGTGTTGTGGTTTGGGGTTACCTAGTGTATGTGTATAATTACAGAAGAATAAATATCTATTCTTCATTATAAATGGGTCCTTTAGTTTAACCCCTTCACGCCTAAGGGTAAAACAAATCTAAATGCCCAAGTACAATTTTGCAACGTTGACATGCGTTAGTAAAACCGTACATAACAACTACTTTGTACATCCAGGTGAATTATATCGCGTTTGTTTCAGGACAAATTGGGCTTTCAATTGGTGTTAAATGGTAATGGATATCTCCTGATTTTTTTTATTATCAAAGGAAAACTGGCCCAAAATAGTAAAAAAAATAATTTTTTTTTATTTAGCTATGTTTCTTGTTACTACCATAACCTACCACCAAAGAACAACCCAAAATAAATTCTCCAGCTCTTGACGATCGCAGCGAGACCATATATGTGTATATTATTTGTATCCATAGTACAGCCCAGAAACAATAGTGCGCATTTTGTTTTTTTTACCTAAAACACACTGACACCAATTTCTTTTTTTTTAAATCCTGACCTTTGACCCTGACCCAAACACTAACCCTGGCACTGAACTAGATCAAACCTCGATCTAGGTATTTGTTCTTTATTTTTTAATATTTATCTTTCTTTTCTTACAAACATTTTTTTTCTTTCTTTCTATGCCAGGAGTTAGAGAGATACAATGCATCTCTTCTCCATTCATAGAGAGAGAAAAAAAACAAGGGGGCCGGGCTGTCCAGTGACTGATCACTGTGACAGCCAATCAGAGGCTATCACAGCGATCATGTGACCCAGAGTCAGGAGTCCCGGGACCCGATCATTAGAACGGGACCTGGGGCTCTCAGTGACACCGTGGTCTTTGTGCTGGGAGCGCGCTGTGCGGCCAGACAGGTACGCAAATATGCAGCCCCACGAATAAAAGCCCAGTTCTGCGAGGCCGCAAATTTGTGTTACGTCGGCGTCAAGGGGTTAAAGGCATTATAAAGCCTATATCGCCTGTGTTTTTCGGCAGCATAATATGTGCATTGGTCCTGTAGTTTTATGGTGTCATTTGTTTCACTGAACACTCAGTATATGGTAAATTAAATATTGGGGCTTCAGGGACAAGGATAAGGAGCTCATCCAAATAGCTGCATTGGCCATGAAGCCCCAAGCCCAACAAGATTCTGCTGCTCAGGTCCAGGCATCTGCCCCCTTACCAAGTATGGTCAAAGAGTCAAGGGATGCAGGTGGTGAAAAAGTGGCAACTATTTTGAAGGCGACCCTGGAACATGTAATAGATACATTGAAGGAACAATGCGATGAGGCAACTCAGGAGGAAGAAGAAACCCTTGAAGCCCCCAGACAGGCCAAAATGGCAGCAGTTGAGAAACTTAAAAGGCTTGCTGTTAAAGGTAAAACCCGCCCATGGAGCCCTGAAGGAGAGATGTGGGAAC